CTCTAGAACTTTTCAAGAGAGTATCAGAACTGCAAAAAAAATGTCACATATTTAAATATGGTGTGCCAAGTTTTGTGTGAACTTGGCACACCATATTAAAAAATGTGACATTTTTTTTGCAGTTCTCATACTCTCTTGAAAAGTTCTAGAGCGCTTTGCAACAATTTTCAATAGTTCCGGTCATTAAATACAAAAAAATAGACTTTTAAAAAAAGATGCGCTAAGTTCTCGCAGCGCACCTAATCAAAAAAACTATTTAAATTAACTATTTCTTTAGAGTTCCGGTTTGTTTTACAATAGTTCTAGAGTTCTATAACATATATAACAATAGTTCTAAAGAAATAGTTAATTTAAATAGTTTTTTTGATTAGGTGCGCTGCGAGAACTCAGCGCACCTTTTTTTGAAAGTCTTTTTTTTTGTATTTAATGACCGGAACTATTGAAAATTGTTGCAGAGAGCTCTAGAACTTTTCAAGAGGGTATCAGAACTGCAAAAAAATGGCACATTTTAAATATGGTGTGCCAAGTTTTGTGTGAACTTGGCACACCATATTAAAAAATGTGACATTTTTTTTAGAGGTCCGAGGTACATTTACTCGATCTCGGACATTATATAATTTTTTATAAATAATTTATTACTGCAATCGCGCAGAACTCTTTATATTTTCATTCCCTGATTACAAATGAACGTTGAAAATATTTTTAAACCGACAGAACTCTCAAAGCGCAGGTAGCGCACCCCACCTGCTCGTAGATGTACGCGACTTCGAATACTATACAATTTTTTATAAATAAATTATTACTGCTGTCGCACAGAACTGTTTGGGTATTCGTTTTCTGATCATAAGTGAACGTTAAAAATATTTTTAAACCAATGGAGCTCTCAAACTGCGGCTAGCGCACCCCAGCTGCTGGTACATTTACGCGACCTCGGACACTATATAATTTTTTATAAATAATTTATTACCGTAATCGCGCAGAACTTTTTATATTTTCATTCCCTGATTACAAGTAAACGTTGAAAATATTTTTAAACCGACAGAACTAGCAAAGCGCAGGTAGCGCACCCCACCTGCTCGTAAATATACGCGACCTCGAATACTATATGATTTTTTAT